CTCCGGGAAGGTCGTCCCTGTGACCGGCCCGGTGTCTGGAGCAGGTGTCGCCATGTTGTCGGTCGCCGCCCGCTCGGGCCCGTTCGCGCCCGTCCTGTCAGCCACGTCCCGCGCGGTGGCCGGCGCGCTGCGGCCCCTGGTGCCGGCCGCGGTGCCCGCCACCTCGGAGCCGCCGGTGCTGGACGTGAAGCGGCCTTTCCTCTGCCGGGAGTCGCTGAGCGGCCAGGCCGCGAGCCGGCCTTTGGTCGCCGTCGTAGGCCTCAATGGTGAGCCGGGCTGACGGGAGCGGTCGGGGCCTGCGGCGGTCCCCCATCTCTCGCGCTCTCCCGCCCCGGACCCGGCGGGCAGCGGAAGAGGGCGGGGGTCTGCGGGGAGACGCGGCGGAGCCCTGTGGGGGATCTGGTTCCCGCGCTGGGTGGACCTTGGGCAGGCTTCTGCACCTCTTCGGGCCTCAGTGTCCCCACCTTGCGAGGGCACCGCTGGCTTGGGCAGTATCAAGTGACCCTCCAGCTCTGGCATTCCAGGCCTCTGTGCGAGTCTTTCCGTCGGCGGCCAGTCTCGGCCGGACTCCAGCCGCAGGCCCAAATCTGCACTTGTCCATTAAGTTCAAGAACTCTGGAGTCCAGCTGCTTCCAGCAGAGTTAGAGATTTTACTGCTTACAGGTCGTTTGACTTGGGGCAAATTTCTAAATGTTCTTCTCACCGGTGAAATAGGTGAATGATTATTACCAACTTCATAGGTTATCTAGTGAGATTCAGATGGAAAGATTCTGTATAAAGTCATTAGTACGTTTTGGGCCCTTTATAAATGCTCAACAATAGGAACTGATATTACTATTTGGGAGAGTGTCTCATTCACTACCTGTCCCATTTCAAACCCCACCCCCCTCCACCACCACCACACAGTGAAAAACAAAAACCCACAACAGTAACACAAGTCTCAGGGTCACAATGTCAGCCGTGTTTTCAGACGCAGGCCCAAACGGTTTTCACACCATAATCAGTCTCAAGAACAGGCAGAAATCGATATTCCCATTTGACAGACGAGAAAACGCGGTGCCAGAGGCAGGGACTAGCACAGTGAGGATACGCACTGTGCACGGGACAGAGCATGGCTCCGAAAGACCGATTTGGCCGTGAGCTCCCAGCAGGACTGTCAGCAGATTCTAGTTTCTCTTCTGGGCCTCGTTTTCTGTTGTTCATGGGCTGTCTTGGAGACCCTGAATTGGCAACCCGTGGGCCGGTGTGCCCCCCACGCATGGTTTTAAAGAGCCGGGAAGATTGCTGGAGTGTCTTGAAGTGTTGGAAGCTGGGGATACCGGGCCGTAGCTTCCGCACGGGAAAAGTCGAGTGCGGTGCCCCGACCGCCCCCTTAGGCAGAGCACGTGCTGTCTCGTTCTCCACCGTCCTGCTCGATTCATCGTGTCACCCGCCTGGCCCCTTCACACGGGAGCTGCTGGCCCCTGACCTGCGTGCCAAGTCCCCCTGCTCTGTTCCGCCTTCATCCCCCGTGTCCTCTGCTTCAGTGACACTCCCGCTCAGGTTTCCATGTTTACGACACTTGCTCGTCCCTTCGGTCTTTGTTCAGGACGAGGCCGACAACATCGTACATCCGCTGACTCCTCTGTATTTTAGAGCAGGTAACACTTCCCACTGGGTGTGTGTTTCCTCTGACCTTGAACTCGAGGGCATAGAGAATGTCTCCTTTAGTCCACCTCCCACAGCCTTGGATTTTGCATGCAGTGGTGTAAAAGATTAATGAATGGTGGTTTTTTGGTTAAGGGGCACCCCTGGGTTTTGGAGAAACTGTTCAAGGTAAGAACAGTACCATCCCAAGCCTGTTTAGACCTGGAGGTTAGAAACAGTAGGGGAGGAGAAAATTTCAACAGCAAAGGCTGAAAGCACCATTGGAATTTGTCAAATTGGCTAACGGGTTTCTTCTAAAAACTGGGGGCTTACCTGTCTTTTCCAAGAACTGGTAAATAATGTAGAACTGTAAGGCAAACCTCTTCTGTAACCATGCCTTGAGCATGTAGCTTAAGTTCACATTAAAATCACTCGCCTAGATGTCTTGTTGAAAGGTGTCAGTGCGGGGTGCGGGGTGCGGGGTGGGAGGCGCTGGATCGGGAGAAGATTCCCAAGGCAGAGCAGCGCTCACCTTGAAAAAATAAACACAAAAGGCCTGTCTGGTTATCACACCTTAAGTTTTCTCTGTTTAGATGATGTTTCTATAAGTATTTTGCTTTAGTTGAGAACTACATCTAGCTAGCTTCTTTGCTGTGAAAAGTCACACTTCATGCAGTTCACGTAAATCGTTGAGACTGTTTTGCAGTGTGCAGTGTAATTTCCCAAAGCTTCCTCCATGGTGTAGCTCAGCATCAAGAGCAACCTGCAAGGTAGAATGGGAACGGACGGCTGGCTTTCCTTTGCCCACAAGTCCGAGGTGAAGGTGGAGGCCATTCTGTTGAGTGTTCTGTGCGTTTCCTGTGCATTTCCTGTATGTTTCATGTACGTTTCCTGTACACCCCTTCAATGGCTAAGGGTTGTGGATAAGTTTTTAATGTCAAAGCGGGAACTGGTGCCTTCATCTTTTAGGTATGATACACACCTTTCCTGTGTAATCTCAGACCGTGCTACGGGAAAGCCATTCATTCATGCTTGATCCCAGCCCCAGTCTACACTGACAGGTTAGCATTAGGTGGAAGTCGGGTCGTCCATCATGTAATGTCACTTTGCCATAGTTGGGAATCTCAGGCAGTCACTACCTATGTCCTGGTTCCCTCCAAAAGATGTCATGTTTGCCAGAAAAGCACACAGGGGTTTCAACAGGTTGACCACTGTTTATGCACACTGCAGCTTCATAGAGATGGTGACCTTGTGCGAGGGCGGGGTGTTCTTTAATGCTCAGCTGCTCAAGGAAGTATCTTAGGATGGGACAGCCTGGTGGGCTAAGTAGAGTTGCAGCCTGTATGAAAATGCGTTTTATAAGTCCATATTTCTTTTGGAAGCAACATATTTTCTAAAAGTGAGGCATTTTTAGCATCCCCTTTCTAAAAAGGAGACTATCTAGCAACTGTCCTAAAATGAACATACACAGATATTTGCTTCCGAAATATACTTAAAAGTGAGACCAGTAAGTTAATTTTTTGTCAGACATTTAAAAATGAAATGGGACAAGACAAAATTTTTTTTTTAAACTACTTGCCCTAAAGTATCACATAAACAGTCATTTTTTAATTTAACATTCATTTGGGACAAATATCGGGCCATTTTGAGCCAGTGGAGCAGAAAAGAAAGTCAGCCCCCTGCTCCGTGGAGCTGTCACCCCTCGCTGGAGGGGTTGTGTGTGAAAGTTGGCTCTTGGTCCATACTAAATCGAAATAATTCGTTCTTTTGGAGGTTTTATTCGCTAGCTGCTTATTCTGATAAGGATGCTCTTTTCTGCCCAGTAAGAGTTTTAGTCGAAGTTAAGGTAATCCTAATTTGTATCCCAAAGTATAAAATAGAAATCTCTAAATTTTCTGCTAACAGTTCGTAGAGTGTTTATTATCTTGTAATTAGTATTTCATGAATTTTTGTTAGTTCTTTCAGAGAACGAGTAGGTAGGAATATAAAGTTAGACATACGGTTAGTAAGACGATTACACACATCACTTGTTGGGTGGACTAGATTAATTTTAGGGTCCCTTCTAATCAGGAGAATATGGGCAGTATTTCACATAATGTATGTCTTACCACGTTGAATTTTGGGGGACTTCAACATATTGCTGTTCACAGTGCGATGTAGCTTTTCAGAGTCGAGGCACTGAACAGTCACGGATCCTGAATCGGCGTGTTCGGTGGGGAGGAACTCGGTTTGCACGTGGCCCCTTACGCTGTCACGCGGGTGCAATGGTGGTGGGTGGCTTCATCAGATGCCGGCGCTGCCAGGCTGACCACCTCTGAGACCAGCGGGTGCCATTTTTCGCAGTTTTGTCGCTTGATGCTTGTCCGTTTCTGGCGGGCGCCCCGCGGGGCACTGTCCCGCTGTGTTGTAACCTCCCGTCTGTCTTGCAGTGCCTGCCTCCGTCCGCTGTTCGCACACCGACGTCAAGGTGCCCGACTTCTCCGACTACCGCCGCGCCGAAGTGTCCGACAGCACGGCGTCTTCCAGAGAGAGCACCGAGGCCAGAAAGGGCTTCTCCTACCTGATAACCGCCACGACGACGGTGGCCGTGGCGTACGCCGCCAAGAACGTCGTCTCCCAGTTCGTCTCCAGCATGAGTGCTTCGGCCGACGTGCTGGCCATGTCAAAAATCGAGATCAAGTTATCCGACATTCCGGAAGGCAAGAACATGGCTTTCAAGTGGAGGGGCAAACCTCTGTTCGTGCGCCACAGAACCAAGAAGGAGATCGACCAGGAGGCCGCCGTGGAGGTGTCCCAGCTGAGGGACCCGCAGCACGACCTGGAGCGAGTCAAGAAGCCCGAGTGGATCATCCTGATCGGCGTCTGCACCCACCTGGGCTGCGTGCCCATCGCGAATGCTGGAGACTTCGGCGGCTACTACTGCCCGTGCCACGGGTCGCACTATGACGCGTCCGGCCGGATCAGGAAGGGGCCCGCCCCTCTCAACCTGGAAGTCCCCACGTATGAGTTCACCGGCGATGACCTGGTGATCGTCGGCTAGACCCCTGACCCCGAGGAGTCTTCGTGCCACTGGAAGACTTATTCGCGAGCAGGCCTTCTGTCCTTCAGTTTCAAGTTGGTCGATTGTCAAGGTTTAAGAATGGGTGATAATGAACTTGCGAACGTCAGTGCAAAGTAGAGTCTAACGCGGGGTGCTCTCAAGCAGTCACTCGATGAAGGCACCGTTGACGTTGGGCTCTGCGACTGGAAAGCTGCAGTGTCTTTGATGGTTAATTCGAATTAAAAATCAGGCTGGCGTACAAGAGTCTTGTGAAATCTGTAATCGACTCATTCATTTCTCTTGTTTGTGTTGGGGACACATTTTGCAGAGCTCATGGTCAGGGCGAGGGTGACAGGCGTCACCTCCCAGTGCTGCGGGGTGAGGGGCTCACCCTCCCCCCCACCCGACACACACACACTAACCCTGTGGCGATGCTGAGTGTGGTCGGTGTGGGACAGCGCTGGGACCCGCGTCAGGGCCCTGACGGTTAGCCCAGCTCTGGCCCCCCGTTTCCTGCCTGTGTGACAGGCCCGGAGGTTTTATTCGTCACCTACGGGAGTGAGTAATTAGAATTCTTCACTTGTAAGAGGTCGCGATGGGATACTATCTGAGAGAAGCGTTCCAGAATGGGAGTCCGGCTTGCCATGCCCTTCCTCTGGCGTGGGCGGTCCCTCCTGCCATCCGCCTGTCGGGAGCAGGGCCTGTGAGCCCTGGTTTCATCCGCGTGTGAAAATGACCCCGCTGGTTTTGTCTCCGTAGTTACGGTTTCGCGTTTCTTCGGTTGGCTTTGCAGTAACGCCATTTTCACCGTGCAGTGGGGGTGGGCACAGGGAGACCTCAGAACTGACCGCGCTTCCTGCCTCGCGCCTCCAGGCCAGGGCTGAAACACCGGGGCCTGATCCCCGGGACCTGGGGGCGGGCGGGCTCCATGCTGACCGCCTCAGCTGCTTTGATGCGGCCATTGTCTCTGCCCTTTGGAGCTGGCTCAGCATGCGCTCTGCTGGGTCCACCTGCGACCTCAGGTGCATTTATTATGTAGCGAGCTAGGGCGAGGGGTCACATCGGGGGGAGCTGGCCGTCAGCTGCCAGTCCCTAGACTCTGGCTAAGTGCGTCAAACACAACAAAAACGGCAAAAAGTCTCTGCTCGTGAGCGAATGTCTAGCTCGTTTTTATTCTAGAAAGAAAATTAGCAGATGTGATAAAACAGGCATGTAACAATAGTATTTTCTGGGTCTCTAGACAGTGACATTTAGATTCAAATATTTAGGTGTAAACAGACAAAAAGTGCCAAACGTTGCTATGTTTTCTGTTTGAAATGGAGGGCTTTCTGGCTGTTGAACACTCACAGACCACAAGCAAATCGGCATTGAAGGGGCGAGGCCATGCCGTGTCTCAGTCCCGGAGGCGCGTGGGCTGGGGGCCGATATTTGGAGCATCTCATGTGACTTCCCCTCTGCCCCCAATGCCTGAGGCCACGAGAAGTTGGTGTATTTATTTGTTGGTTATTTTGCTTGTTTATCACTGGTGAAGATTCTGTTTTCCTGACATTTGTGGGGAAAATCATCTTACACTTTCTACTCACGCTACTTTTCCATGATGCCAGCTGCCCACAGCTTATTGCTTAAAACTATACAAATATAACTTAGAAGCTGACAGGTTTGGGGTCAAATCGGAAGTGGTACTTTCGTTTTCAACAAGGCACCAGGAGCCGTTCAGTACTTCAGGTCACACCGACGTGGGAGGTTCTTACTTGGAGGAACTTATGGGATAGTAGGTTAATGCAGCTTTTCATTTGAAGGTGAATAATTAAACCTGGAGCAGAGACCTCGGAGCAGTCAAATGAATCCTTAGAACCTAGCAATCCAGGTGCCTTGTCATCCTACGTAAACATTTTAAAGTGACCGCTCCATGGACGTAACGAGGCTGTGCAGCTCCTGCTCTTCCCGGGCAGGGTCCCGTGGGCTGGAGGCGGGCCGTAGGGGACAGTGCTGGAACTGGCGGCTGACTGTGGCTTTGCCGTCTCCCAGCGGGGAGCCCTGGGCCTGTCGCCGCCTCTGCTTTGGACATTTGTGCCCATCCCTAGGACAGATGATTGGACTAGCTGGTTTCGGAGTCTTGACTTTGAGGTTCTGTGAGCCCCTCCCCGCCCCAGTAGTGGGAATGGGTTTTCTTAGGTGCCGTTCGTGTTTGCCGGGTTTGGGGGTACAATAGAGAGACCCGGACTCACAGAAGCAGCATCGTGTCAGTCCACTGAGCTCGCCCTTGACAGTAGCAGCACTGCGACTCCAGGGGACGTTTGTGGCCGTTGGATTGTCACAGTGATTGCAGGGTGGTGCTGGCATGGGGTGGGGGTGGAGGCGCCCGAATGCAAAACGTTCTCCCCCAGGGAGATCCCAGGTGTTAGGGGGACTTAAGGAGAGTAGAAAAATTCTGACATCGGGCCGTTCACGTGTACCTCTTACGGGGGGTAAACGAGATCTGTGCCTCTACACTGCTTTAAAAAGCGGTTCCAGAAAGCAACCTTTAAAAAAGCCTTTGCCCCGTCCGTCGGAGGGCACGTCAGATTTCCTGTCGTTTGCGAGCCCTCGGCAAACCCGCCGTCGACCCAGCGTGAGTGTGTGGACGGCGGGGAGGGCTTGGGGTCCAGGTGCGTTCTTCTCAGCATCTTCATGTTTCTAGACGATGGGAACGTACTATTTCTCCACATGTCCGAAGTCACTCTTCGTTCTCACAGTGCAGAATCGTCATTTTCTATATTTTTATGTCATTTGGATATCATTACATTTTATATATTAACCCAAAATAAAGGTCTGTATTTTTCAGAGTACCATCCTCGGCCTACTGTCCTGACACCGTCGTCGTCACCTGTTCGCTCATGAAGCCCCAGGTCACTTCCCCGAGCTCCACGCTCACGGCCAGCTGCTCACCGGGTGTCTGTCTGCGCACGGATGTTCTGTTAAGGCCAACTCGAAATGTCCAAAAGTAAAGGAAGCCACCTCTGTCGCCCATAAGCCCCCTTCTCCATCGCATTGGTGGCCTTTCCTGCGACCCAGTAACCTACCTGGCAAGCTACAGACCTCCCGTCTTCCCTGCCCCCTCCCCCGGGCCCAGATCAGCCCCCAGTGCTGCTAATTGCACCTCAGTAAGATAGGCCTGTCACGGTCTCCCATCTGTAGCATTCTGGGGATGGCACACATCAGGCTACGTGTGCTTCATGTGAGCTCACTGAATCCTCAGAAACCCTGTCAGGTAGGTGATGCTGCTGTTCTAGTTTACAGATAGAGAAACTAAGGCACGTAGGAGTCCCTGGTCTACAATTACAGAGCTGGTAGGTCGGTGGAGCCAAAATTTTATTGTGACCCAAGAGGCCTGAGCCCAGAGCCTTGGTTCTGAGCACCGTCATGAGTCTATTGAGACCTCGTCGATTTTTGCCTGGTCCCCTGCAGAAAGGTTCCAAACAGGTCTGTCTGCTTCCCTTCCGTCTCGTCCCCATGAAAACCATCCTCCACGCAACTTCTGTGTAGTGTAGAGGTTAGGAGTTTGGGCTCGATTCCTGGGTTCTAATCCTGGCTCTGCCATTTCCCGGACACGTGACTTATTGTGCCTGTCTTCCTCATCTGAGAAATAGTACCCCTTGGGGTTTCTTTAGGGATTAGCGCATTAACCTAGGTCCAGAGATGACTTAAAAACTATTTACACAGCACCCCACCAGCCCGCCTTCCTGCATCCCATCAGTAAACCCTTTGCTCCGGGGACGGAACCTGCTGGCCGTGCCCCCCAGTTTTCTCTCTGTCCACGCTGTCCTCTGCCCCATTCCCCTTTACCTCGTCTTAGCAAGGCTGTCCTCTGCCCACCCTCCCGCACCGCTCAGATGTGCCAGCTCGCGCCGAGGTCATTCATTTTTCCTGCATTTATCCCCAGACCGCCAGGCATATCATACCACGTAGATGCTTATATTTTCCTCTGTCGCGGAGTTCACGCTCCTGGTTTTGAGGGATGGGGCCTGTGGTGTTCTTGAAAAATGCTGAATGAAAAATAAAATGAATTTCCGAGTGATGTTATTTGAAAGGAAATGTTTCCAGGGAGTGCTTTGTAAATATCAGCACTAACATTTTTAAATATGGGACAGTCATGTAATGTTTGGGTGTCTCATCTTTCTAGGACTTTAGGTCAGAGGAGAAATTAGCTATATTATAGGATATTTTGGATTTAAATTTAGACGGTTCCCAGAAGAAGAAACTGAATAAACAATGAAATCAGGATCTTAAAACTAGGATTTATTTTACTTTATTTGCTTCATAATGAACATTCTTCTGCCCTTGTAAGATTTCAATGTCAAAATGTCTGTCCTTCGGTATTTTATTTCCAACACTTTTAAATGCAACAGACATCATTTTATTGCTTCTGGCATTTAAAGTCCCTCTTAGTCACTTTCCATCCCAGGATTTAGGAAGGGAACATTTTGCTTAGAGATGAAAATACCGTCAAGCAGGCGAGTCTGTGCGTTCTCCTGGGTAGGAAGGGTCGAGGCGTGTTTTCTCTCTCTCAGTGCTCGGCGCTCCTCACGGAGGTGGAGGGAAGTCCTGAGCAGAGCACGGCCAGGACCGTGAGGCCCGGTGGTCCCACCGGGGGTGCCTGGAGGAGACCTAGACACACCACGAAAGGCAGGCTGCCACGGCGTGTGGGGGGTCCCCGCGAAAAGGTGCTGTCCATGGGAACTCTGGTGCCAGCACGAGATGAAAATTCACGTGGCGACGGCTTCGGCAGCGTCTTTGCAACAAACCCTCCGTAACCATCAGCAGAAGACCGGTCTGTCGGCGAACTGGAAACCCCAGATACTGTAAACGACACTTCATGTGTTTGCAGGTATTAAACGGGAGCCAGTTTGAGCCCAAAAGCTTACAGCGATCTGGCTTTTGAGATCCTTATCTGATTAGAATGTTTGCAAAGGTAAGAAATGCAAATACATAAGCAAACGGTGTTTTCATTTTAAAACAAAACCTCGACTCTAATTGAAGGGAAAAAAGCTGCTGCGCTTCACCTAATCGTCCAGTGTAGGGTGAGTGTCTGAAGTCTGCTGTTTGCTTTAGCTTCGCGTGCCAGAACCCCGGCCCGTGCCCCCTCCTTCAGCCGGGGGGTGTGCACTTGCCTTCCTAGCTCTCCCTCTGCCCTTTGGAGGGACGGAACATTCTGAGGCCCCGGCCCGTATGAAACCCGCTTAGGGACTGTATTCCCCCTTTAAATAGAAATCTCAGAAGAGATTAAGGGTGTGAA